GACACAACACAAGATTATGGAATTGGTTTGGGAAGTTCTCCCTCACCCACCATATTCTTCAGATATGGCACCATCAGATTACCATATTTTTCGTTTACTGCCACACCATCTTAATGGGAAACATATGTGGAAGGTGTTAAAGAGAACATCGACATGTTTTTTGCTTCAAAGCCAAGTGATTTCTTTAATCAGGGCATTAACAATCTGATTGTAAGATGAAAAAGCATCATCGATAAGAATGAAGACTATTTCATTTAATAAATGTTTTGTTTTGATATATAAGATGTTCGGGTTTTTCATCTAAAAAAAGCGACATTAATTTCTTGATGACCTAATACACATTAATTTCACAATATAAAAGAGATGTCACAAGGAAGGTTTCTAATTGTTTCTTTAGTGAATCATTTTGGAATTGCAACACAAATGGAAGTTTCTGAGGCATCGTTGATAAACTTTATATGGGAGGGATTATAATTACAAGCATCGAAATAATATTACAGAGCACTTTAAACTAAATTAGCCATTATATGACAAGTATATATATATATATATATTTCTTTTAATGAAAAATCTTACATTGTTCGAAAGCAGCAATATTTCTTCCTTTTTCAAGTCCAATTAAGTATGTATATAAAAGTGAAAATATTCTAACATCTTAAGGCTTGAATGGGTAATGAAGAAAAACTTTAATATAAGTTTGACATAACAGCAAATGTACAACGTTTCAACAAGGTTTTGTCATCATCATCAATATTAAAACTTTATGCATATACATATCTATTGATTTAGTGAATGTTCAACAGAATGTGCAAAATATTACATTATTATCCAGTATTAGATCTATTGCTGGTTTACATTTATCATAAAGTTAGAAAAAAATTATTATTTTTCATTATTTTAAAAATTAACAGTAAAAAAAATAGTAAAAATCATGTTATTGTTGAGACAAACATGTTTTATCATTGCTCTGATAGTCTCAACAACATAGTATTATATTTTGATTTTGAGAGAAATACATGAACAGATTTAAGTGTTTAGGACTTAAGCAGGAATTTTAACTCATTAAATTATTTTTCTTCGAAAATGCCAAACATATACACAGTACTCACTGAACCAATACCACACACAACATTGTGTAAGAGAATAATTCTGTTTGCAAAAGCAAAATGTTTTTTAATGCCACACACAGTTCTTATGAGATTGCTCATTTTACTTATAGCTTCATTAAAATCTAAGCTTTGGAAATGCTGCAGGAATTTTTCATGTTTACATTTCTAATTTCACATTTTTACATCACTGTACAGAACCCTAACAGATATGGATACATACTATACACACACACACATATATATATATTTCTATAGTGTATCAATACACTGCCAGGTATATGGATTAGCAATGTTTTTTCAGCTGATAGTACTGAAATATTTCAAATTACTACAAAGAACTAAAAAGGTATCATTGTTTTCATTTTAAATAAAGAACAAAAATAGATTTATATTTAAATAAAAATAACTGTGATTAATTTAATGCTTTAACAATAATTTAGTAACACATAAAAATTTCTTGCAATTTGTATTTGTTCTCTTTTCATCTAACTCATTGTTTTGTATTAAACATTTAACATTTTTATGCATTACAGAGACCTCTACCAGATGATAAAAAGACTATTAGTTTTACCTTATTTTAATCGTAACATTAAACTATCCATGTATAATAACTTAATC